AAAGTGTACTTAAAAAACACACAGACCCCGTAATATTACACAATATCCGAACACCTAACAATATAATCACAGAACCCTAGAAGATCAAAACTGCAATACAGGAATATTTCAAACACTGGACAAAATCAAACCCAACTCAAACAGAACTATGAAAAGAATGGGCAGACGAATACAAACCAATTCAAATAATAGACCCAACATGGTATAATACAATCACGACAAAGATCACATCCTCCAAACTAGAGATTATAATCAAAGAAGCACCCAATACAAAGGCTACTGGGCCCTCAAAAATATCAAATGAAATGTTAAAACATCTAGGCCCTCAAGCGAAAGCCACAATCTTAAACCTATTAAACAACTGTCTGACACTATATGACGTATCAACTGCATAGAAATATAGTACAATATACCTCATATCAAAAAAATCAACATTTACAGGAGATCTAAACCAAACATGCCCAATCACACTAATCGAACATACTAGAAAAATCCTTACAAAAATCATTGTACGAAGACTCGATCCTATCCTATCCAAATACAATATATTGAATCCCAACAACTACGTAGCTCTAGCAAACACCTCCACCGCAACCCCAATACATACACTTCAACATATAATAGAAGATGCTCAAACAAACAAAAAAGAACTATGGTTGTTATCACAGGACATGAGCAAAGCTTATGACTCGGTACACATACCACTTTTAATCAAAGCACTACATCACATCAAAATACCGGAATCTATAACAAACATCATAAACAATATACTATCCCATAGACACAATAATGTCATTACAAACTATGGACTAACCAACAACTATCATGTTCAAGACGGAATAAATCAAGGGGAAACCATAACCCCACTACTATGGAGGATATACTATGACCCCTTGTTAACTCGAATCAACAGAAACCACCCCATATACACAATGAATACAACTACATCACAACCAACACACATACAACACACATACCTTAGCAAACAACAAAATGTACTTGTATATATGGACGATATATTATGGATAGCAGAAAACAAACCAAACTTACAAATACTAATCAACACAGCTAATTCTTTTTACAAAATGACAGGAATTATGGTCAACCCACACAAATCCATACTAGCTACCAACTACAAACCAAAAAACAAAGAAAAACTCGTACACATCACATTCAATAACACTAACATATATCCAATATCATCTAAACACTGCTTCCGATTCCTTGGATATTATTACAATATCTACACCAACAAAACAACAATACAACAAAACATAACAAAAGAAATCGAAGAAGCCTTAAAGCTACTCCACAAATCAACA